GTGTGTGTGTGTGTGTGTGTGGGTGTGTGTGTGTGTGTGTGTGTGTGTGTGTGTGTGTGTGTGTGTGTGTGAGTGAGTGTGTGTGTGTGTGTTTCACTTCAGATACGAGCATCCAAACACACCACAGCGATCAGAGGACAGAAACATGAGCTGATCTACAAGAAATCACACCAGCAGACATGAAATAAAGAAGCCGGCGGTCAGTATTTGACACCGGATCATCTGTCAGATAATATTTCAGCTGCGTTACATCAAAGAATTCAAAAAGACATTAACATTATTCAAAAAAAATAATAATATAAAAACCAAACTCAACAGAGATAAGATACAGTAAAGAGTAACCTGCAGTTTAAATATATCTATAACCTGCATTAAATCTATCTTTCTGGTTGCTGGTGTTTTGATATAAAGTGCAGATCAATAACACATTACCAATAAACAATAAATCATCTGTAAGAACAACCTGCCATGGAAATACAGACAGGGATGAGGACAGAGCTGTCTGTCAGTAATAAGACTTTAGGTTGGTTAAAGTTAAACTCTCTTACCTGTGTGACAGCTCTCAGTCATGGTGACTTGTGTAAATATAGATGGATGTAATACTGATCTGCTGTGAGTTTGGACTCAGACGTTCTTCATGTTTGTTGCAGATGGTGTGAGTTCCTCTATCAGCCGCTGCCCTGCCCTGCAAACACTGTTTCACTCCAGAAGTGGAGTGTTTCCGCAGGAGGACCGCACACACACACACACACACACACACACACACACACATCTGATCTGATCATGCCATCTGCTGGTGATGGACACACTGATGAATATCTGATGAACCTCACAAACAACTTCAGATGACCTAGCTCTTAGAAAATCAGCCGTCAGTCACACTGACCATCTATCTGCTGTTTTTATTTTATTTTTATTTTAACTTATTAAATACTGGATTTGATCATGTTTTCACATGTATGTGTATGTAGGTGTTTTTCATCTCTCTCCGATACTGTCAAAACCAGTTTATCTTTATCATATGTCACCACAAAACCAGTCATAAGGGTCAATTTCTCAAAATTGAGATGTATACATCATATGAAAGCTGCATAAATAAGCTTTCCATTGATGTATGGTTTGTTAGGAGAGGACAATATTTGAAAATCTGGAATCTGAGGAAGCAAAAAAATCTAAATATTGAGAAAATCATCTTTAAAGTTGTTCAAATGAAGTTCTTAGCAATGCATATTACTAATCAAAAATTAAGTTTTGATATATTTACGGTAGAACATTTACAAAATATCTTCATGGAACATGATCTTTACTTAATATCCTAATGATTTTTGGCATAAAAGAGAAATGTATAATTGTGACCCATACAATGTATTGTTGGCTATTGCTACAAATATCCCCCAGCGACTTAACACTGCTTTTGTGCTCCAGGGACACATATTGTTTGTTTGTTTTGCTTTTTTATAAAAATAAAAAAAAGATAAAAAAACAGTAGAAAAAAGAAAATCATCTGTGTTCTGGGTCATTCGGTGGATTGAGCAGATATGGACCTCAAACTATAACAATAACCTAATACTCCTGAGCTAATATTTCAGTCTGTCCACCCTGTTACAGGACATTTCTACACTGCAGACGTTTAAACCACTGAAGCCCATTACTGGCTAGCAGAAGATATAGCAAGAACTTTAATAGATTAATAACATTTTCATTTCCATTACGAACTGACTCAACAGGGTGGACAAGTTGGGTTTTATGCTAATAGATACGATTTCTAAAAATGAGGAAAAGAGAGAAATGTTTATGACTAAAACTTCATTTGTTCCTGGATTCATTTTCCATCCAAGGAAATGATGTCACTTCTATCAGGTCATGTGATTTGCGTCACACGCTTAATATTTTAAAGGAGAAGAAGCACCAATATAACAGGGTGGACATAAACTCATTTAATGGTTTTACACATTAAACAAATATGCATCACACAAAAAAGAAAATAAGTACATGTGTACACTATTACTCAAAGCATTTAATTCAGTGTGTTACTTGCTGTTTCTTTGAGTAATTAATTGTAATTAATTAAATAAATTTACTAGCAACTTCACAGTGAAAATTGCCTCGACACCTAATTTCAGTGAAGGTGCAAAGAAGCTTTGAAGATGTGCATGTTAATGTTCTTAAGACGACACACATCTTTATGTCTGTCTTTATAAGTTTATTGTTGAACTGTAGATTTCAGCTGCAAAGAAAAGTCCAGAATCACCAGTGGCTTGGAGCATGCTCATAATTTACATTTACATTTAGTCATTTAGCAGATGCTTTTATCCAAAGCGACTTACAAATGAGGACAACAGAAGCAATCAAAACTAACAAGAGAGCATCAATATGTACAGTAAGTGCTGTGACAAGCTCCATTAAGTCTGACACAGTACAAGTAGCAACATACTTCAAAATATCTTCTTTTATCATACAGCTTTGGAACAACCTGAGGATGCGTAAAGGAGACAGAATGTTCATTTTTGGGTGAACTACGCCTTCAAAGTTGCTAAAAACCCTGTATAGTGATGTGGCACGTGTTGAAGATGAGCGCTCTGTGTCAGGTTCAATAGTTTATTAAGTGGTGTGACACTAACAGCCCAAACAAGCTCGTCTCCTCACGGCGTCGCCATAGCAACGGCTCATAGATGCAAATGTGTTCCAATTAAAATAGTAAAAAACAGCATCTTCAGATTCATTAGAAGATCTATTTCGAGTTGAAAGTGAGGATAAAAGAGCGCTCGTGTTTCTCTTGGCACAAGCATGAGGCTGATTTCGTGCTGCAGCCAATGCGTCGATGCCTTCGCTTCTCAAATAAATAATATGGAAATTATTCCTTAACACCATATCAAAGTACCGTAACGGCTGTCCTGAAAATATGAGCCACCTCTCATTAGTTAGTTAGTTAGGGTTAGAGGAGGGTTGGGGGGGTTAGTTTTAACTGCTGGTAGGTTATCATCCTGAGCATGTTCCAGCATTAACCTCATTAACCTGTACTTGTCTGTTTTCTCTCTCTGGGGCGGTTTAATAACGGCAAAAGCTGCCAAGACTGAGCCGCATACTGCCACAAAACCGGATCAGTGCCTGAGGCTGTGTATTTATAAGGTCTGATCGTTTATTTATTCATTTATTTATTTATGCATGACACTTATGGATAGATACGGATTTAATATAAACAAAGACATCGTTGCTAACTTGGATGAAGCCCATTTTTGAGCACCTCCTGTGTTATGAAAGAACTGAAAAGAATAAGAGAAAATAAAGATTATAATAAAAATGCGATGGCTCAGAAAAGTACACAAAATAAAGAAACAGACAGTATAAACAACTGAATCAGTGTGTTTTTTAAGTATTTTTGCTTATGTAATATTATAGTATTTATTAATAGTTTATTTTTATTTTATAGTTTAGGTTTCTTTTTAATTTTATTTGAAGTTTTAGTAATTTTATTACACACTTTTGACATTTTGATTAGTTTTAGTTTTTTTTTTCAGAACATTTATTTTTATTTCAGATTTAGTCATTTTTTTACTTTTTTTCCTTTCCTTATAATTTGAGTTTAAGTTTTAGTAATATCGTTATGTGCTTTTGACATTTTATTCGTTTTTGTTTTTTATTGTTTCTATTTAGATTTAAAAAAAAATTATTCCAGTTATAGTCATTTTAGTACTTATATATTTTATTTCATTTAGTTGCCAAATACATTTTCTTTGAAGTTTTTTGATGTACCTGTTACATCTAATATTTACATTTTAGTTTATTTCAGATTTATTTCGATGAACAAAAGCAGTTTTAGTTTTAATTAACAATAACAACACCGAAGTGAATCTAAACTGAATTTAAAATCGGATCATTTATCATTCATTTTCAGTTCATGTCGGTTCAACATTAACTATATGCTCTATGTGACTATCTGGATGAGACCCTGATCAATAATATTGCTTCTGTCGGTTTCATTAATCATGTCATCTTATAAACAATGTTCTGTCATCCAAATGAGTCACTTCCGGAGTCAATGCTATTATGAAGATACAGATCACTAATGAGGAAATAAACAAATTGATTTTATTAAGGTTCGGTGAGTTTTAAAGAAATAAGATTACAGTGATTGCACATACTGTTTACATGCTTCTAACATCATCAATATGATTTCTCTGTACACTTTTAATCACTGAGGGGTTTAATTGATTTGTTCTGTAGGCATGTGTGGCTGTTTTTCTGTGGTTTTGGCACCTGAACCAGGATTCTCATTTGCTAAAATTCTACTCACATTTTTAATGACACACATGAGAGTCAAACCATCTCAGATCAGGACCATTTGACCTGACATATGCATCCACATCTGTGAGAGGAATATATTCCATGAACAAATCTCAGAGAAGCATCGTCACTGTGTGTGTGTGTGTGTGTGTGTGTGTGTGTGTGGTGTGTGTGGTGTGTGTTTGTGTGGTGTGTGTGTGGTGTTGGGGTTGGTGTTGGTGTGTGTGTGTGTGTGTGTGT